CGCTTTTCTTATGGAGTTTTACGATAGCCCAGTACCACATGACTGAAATGGTTGGAACCGATTGTATGGTTTCATTTCCAGGTGATCGTAAATTTGGTCAAATATTCTGCGCTATGAAATGAACCACAAATTCCCATAATACAGAGAGAAAGAGAGAGAGAGAGAGAGAGAGAGAGAGAGAGTTGTACTATAAACGTGTAAAATCTGCAATGTCCAGTTTGTGCAAATATTAACTCCTATAACAATAATGAAACCTACATACTTAAAACATTCATCTTGATACATCTCAAAAGATCGTGGTATATTTTAATAGAGTAATTCTGCTCGATTTCCATCATTTTCCGAATATATCTACCCTACCTCATCGATCCGAGTCGAGATCATAGAATCTACAACATCACACCACAATTAAATGTTAAATCTATAAGATCTTCTCTTAGACTGGCTTTCAACCACGGCGACAGAGCTCAGTCTAATTTCCTATTTAACCCGTAGCTGGGGGATAAGAAGGGATGGATAAAGGTATTTGTGCCGAGGTAAATGTAACGAATGTGACCGGAATTCGAACTTGGCTCGCCGACTTCTCGTTTCGAGCCGCTAGCCGTTATACTTTATATAAAACATATTTTCTAAGATCGTAGAAAATTATTGTACTGACATAAACTATTATGATAACATTAAGATTTATTTCAACGTGTATATCCCGAAGAGTGAGTTTCAAAAATTTCACCTCGAACGTCTCTTGAGAATTGTTTGATTTGATATCAAAATGAAGAAGGCTTCAGACGAGTCGAAATGTGGAAATAAAAGTATTTAAGATGAGGACATTAGTCCAAGTAAATAACAAAATTGTAAAAAACTACATGAAAGACAAATCGACAATCTTTGATAACGTAGGGGAAAATGTAGAGGGGGAATATATTTTGTGATAGTCTTCCTCTTAATTGGGGGGGGGTGCTGAAGAGTTTTAAAAAAATTGATGTTTGATCTTTTGGTCAGATTTTGGGAAGTGAGTTGGGTCAAGATGTTTTCAGCATCCTCTACCGTATTACATTTATTCTATGTGCCGTGTCCCTTCAGGGTGTAGACGATCATGGCTTTTCACGACTCCCTGTCTCTTGTAGCTCTTAATAAACCTTGTCCTTCTGCTATTTACTCAAGCCCATCAAGTATGTCATGCATTATCTTCCTTTGTCTCTCTTGCCCTCTCTCTGTCCCGTGAGTATCAGATTTTCCAAGCCCTCCTTTCTCGTTATATGCCCTAAAAACCTCAGCTGTCTCTTCCTGATGTTAATTATTAGTTATTTGTTTTTTTTGTTTTTTTAACCAAAGCAGGTAGCTTTATTGATGAAACCTTTTCATATGTTACATGACAAACTTAGGAAATATATAGATTCAGTTAAACTTCTGTATCCTGTACCCCAGGCAGTTATTTTTTCCATGTCCTTGTGGCTGACACAGTACGATCGCTATGGAAATATCCCATACTATAATCCACTTCTATTCATAAATCTTAGTTAAATAATAACGTGTGACAGCAATGTTTTCTTTTTAGTAAATCGACCAACAAGTCACACCGAACATTTTTAAAAGTAATGGGCGGTCTTCTTTCTTTCTTTCTTCAATTTTTACCATAGTTTGCATTTTTTACTTCTTTATTTTAAAGTTATTTTCTTCAATTTCAAAAGAGACGTATTGGTGATATGAAAAAAAAAATCACTGGGCTCTCATCTTATTGAGTCCTACTGAAGAGACTGATGATTTATTCTCAGTGAACCGTTTCAATAATTCTATATCCAAAATTTAATGAAAATATAGAACAATTTCTGATGAAAAAAGAAAAGAAAATTACTCTAGCAACTAGCGTTCATTCTTTCCTCCGAAGTATTCCTATTAAGCATATATATAATGATCTCACAAAGTGGAACTCTCAAAAAGGGTAGCGGCAAAATCCGTACTACTTTCGGTTAACAAGCTCTGTTCAAAATCCCCAAACTTTAAGCAGCACCTCGTATAATTAACTACGATAAATACAATATATATTTTTTTGTCGAAGGCATACTGAATGCTATTTAATTAGTTGAGTCTGGCACAAGGCTTAATATTTAGAGTATTCTATGAGGATCAGACTCACCCTAGTCGTAATGGTTTGATAGCCTACTTTGATAATCATTATACTATCTTAGTCTGGTACAAGGTCATATCTGTAGGACATCCGGTGAGGATCAAACTCACTGTAAAGGTCTACAATAGCTTGATAAATATTACTACATAAGATGAACCCAAAATACAATGGGGAGAAGAGGGGAATTCATACATTTCTCAGGGATATTTGCACGTAAGTGAATATAACGAATCACCTGCACGTCCAAGTTTACAGCACCTGGTATTCCCAAGCGGTTACCCATCCAGTTACTGACAAGGCTCAACGTTGCTTAACTTCGAAGATCGTACGCGAAACGGAGTTTCAACTTATTATACAGGACCCGTCTATGCTGTGATAACAAGTCACCTACCTGTGTCATTACTCCCCGTTATCATTATCGTCAACCTCAATACTACTGTGATATCTATTTATTTCCAATGAGGGGACGCTTCGAAAGTAATTCCTCCTAAATATTTCCACAGACGCTACAACAGATATTAGGAGCATGCCGTTTAATAGACCAACATTTTCTGATTTAAAAATCATTTTTCCATATTGTCAGTCTCCGTTATTGGTTTCGGAGCGTTTTTCGTTTCAGAACCTGACGGCCATTCATGACCGCCCGGAACGTGACTTGTCATACAAATCATTGTCGCCACTACTGAAACGCATTAGTCACTGAGATCACATTCACTGTTTCTTCTCCAGAAACGTTCAGCAACTGTTGATAAATGTTAATGGGTGTTTTTTTTTTTGTTTTTTTTTTTTTCGCATGGAGAAACTCGATGAAATTCCTCGGTTTTGTAAGCACTTTCATATTGGTCTCCATTTTGCAAGACTGCTATCAATAACGAGACCAAAAAATTATGGGTTATTAGCAGGAAGGTTCAGCTCCTACTACCATACTGTTGTGGTAAACCCTCCTACAGTAGAATGAACTCTTCCTGCGAGAGTCAGTTGGGCAGGGCAGAGGCAGTGCTAACCTACCGTTCGGACGTATACCTCTATCTACTTATTACTAACACTCTTGCTTTGTATATTTCTTCAATATACTTGTTAAACCTACCTTCGTCTTCCGTGTCTTTCTTTCTGGCCCCTAAACAGGCCACAACACATACTACCAACATTCGCTTTTGATATCTTCAATCATTACCATAAATTAGGAGGAGGAATTACTTTCTGAGCTTTCCTCGTGTTAGTAATTGCAGGAAACCTGAGGATTGATATGCGTATCTTCTGACATTTAATTAATGAATAAATGGGCAGATAAAAACAGATTTGTAATTGCTTTAGAAATTATAGCAAACAGAGAAGAGACATGATTCTGCAGAAGGATACTGAGAATACCACGGACTGAACATGTGAGTAAAGGGGAAATTTTAGAAAAACTGGAAACAAAAAGAACACTTACACTTAACATCAGAAAGAGACAGTTAAAATTTTTATGGCATATAATGAGGAAAGAGGGCTCAGAAAATTTGATACTCACAGAACAGATTGAAGTGGGAGGGACAGAGGGAAGCAGTGCATAACCTACCTAAGAGTTGGTGCAAATGGTTGACAGAATAGGGATTAGGAGAAATAGCAAAGAAGAAAAAAAAAAAAGAAAAAAATTACTAAAAGCTACACAGGACAGGAAATTGAAGAGAGCCATGATTACCCACGTCCTGAAGGGATACGGCAAATAAAAAACAAAGATTTATAGCAAAAAATTTTTAAAAAAAGGGGGAAAATATCGACTAACCCACCTACGAAGATCGTGAAAATTGATAAACTAGGGATAGTAAGGAGACAAGCGTTGCTTATAGTTACAAAGGATAGGAACTCGTGGAGGGCTATGATCGCAAACATCTTGAACGGATGCAGCACATAAAAGAAAATTCAAAACTTGACCATTATTATTTAAGAACATAAGCATTGAAATTTCTGGGACCCATAATAAGGAAAGAGTGCTTGGGGAATTTGACACTCACAAGACATATTGAAGGCAGGGGAACGCAGAGGGAAACCGTGAGTAAACTACCTAATTAGTTTATGTAAATGGATGGGATAACAGGGAGTGACAAGGATAGTAAAAAGACAAATATTGATAAGAGATACAAAGGATAGGAAGTTGTGGAGTGCCATGATCACCTACCTAACGAACTTGTGTAAATGGATAGCAGTATAGGGACTGGGAAGGATAATAAAAGAATAAACTTTGCTTAGAATTGCAAAGGATAACAAATTATAGAGAGATAGGATCACCCACGCCCTGGAGAGGCAAAATACGCAAGAAAAATTAAACATTTCTGCAAATATAATTAGATTTTAAAATAATAAAACTCTTTCTTCTCACCTTTCATTAAATGATTTTCTTTCTGTGTATAATTCAGTGGTTAGAGTATAAAACATGAGGTTCATTTGTGGACATTGGTGAATGCAAAAATATCTTAAAAGAAAAATATCTTAATTATTGATGATAAATACTGAAGCTTGGACACATTGTCACGGACCAATACTTAGTAAGGTACCCTAAACAAACCATTATTACTGGAATGAGTTCGTTCTTCATCGATGGTTTCACAATTGTAACTTTATTATTACTCTTTTTGACTTTTGGAATGCATTTTTTGCTAATTTGTTGTGTGCTTGGATTTTGATGTCACATCTTCGGTTGAAACACTTAAAAAATAATTATGAAAATATTTTATTCATAATTTTAATGCTAAGCAAAGTATTAAGGAACAGAAACATTTCATTAGAAACAAAGAAAAGAGTACTGCACTGTTATGTAATATCAATCCTCCTTTATGGCAGTGAATGTTGGACAATCTTCTCACAGATTAAGAACAGACTTGAAGTAACAGAAATGTGGTTCTATAGATGCTGAGAAAACCAAAGACTGAAACTGAATATGTAAGCAACGACGGCAATGGAAATAAAAAGGACATTTATACTTAATATCAGGAAGATATAGTTAAAATTTCTATGAGGAAAGAGGGCTTGGAAAATCTGATGCTCACAGGACAGATTGAAGGAAAGAGCTGGTTTGAACACGAATCTGTAGATTCATTTGGCTAAGACTTTTAGATCAAGAGAAGTGATTACCTACCACAATTTAAAATTAATGATATTTTAGTACATTTTATTGATATCTGTACCTGTCAACATTTACAGGTCATGAGGTCAAGTTGCTATTATCTGAGCTGGAATAGGTTTTGGAAGATAAGAATCTAGGACAATTATGTCGAGCTATTTTTTTCATTGTTTTGAGGAAGATTGCTTATATCTAAATGAAAGAAACAAAAGAAAATAGCAAGAATTACTGGATCCAGTTGACACTCTTTTTTCGACATTTGAAGATGACAGAATTGACCACTGCTGACAAATCCGAAAGCGATACTGGAATAATAGAAATATATTACATGGTCAGATAATACTAAAACCAAAAAGTCTGTGAATCTGTAATGTAATTGTTAAAAGGTAGGCTACCAAAAGTCAGTGAAAAGAAAGCAAATATATTTTAAAGAGCCTAACTAATCTGCTGCTAGAAAAGTTGGTTCACTGTGTCGTGCTAGACATTTTTTTTCTTGACAGAATCTATTTTAAGCATTTATAAGTCGACCGTTCGTCCATTCATTGAATATTGCAGCCATATCAGCTCTAATGCTTCTGCTGTGTATTTAGAGATTCTTGTTAAAATACAAAGAAGAATCCGCAATGTTATTGATTCTGACCTGGCATCTCGGCTTTAGTCACCTGGCCGTTACGACTGGAGTCGTCATTTACTAAGTTTCGCTTAACTTAATTTCGTGCAAAATCAAGAGTACCGAGGCATCTAGTAAGGATTGAACTCACCAGTCACCAGTCAATTATTTGCTAAGCGAAGCCTAAACTTGCCACGTCGTATACACTTACATATAACAATTTTCGTCGATACATTTCCCGTGTTGACTATCTAAACCCATATGCTAATTAAAGCTTGTCAGAAGGATTTTTTAAATGCGTGTTGTTTAAACAAAAATATTATATGGTACGTAACTACGAAACCAGACACTCATTACATTTTGCTTCTCTTTATGAACTTTATAAACAGTGACGGTTAATATATATAAAATATGACGGGGTTACTTACGTATGGATCAGTACGGTCACCAGAGTATCTGTGCACTCTGTTTAGAATCAAAATATGGCTTCCCTGAATTTTTGTGTCTAGAACCAGTGTAATATCTGTGTTCTCTTTGAAAAAATGTTGCACAAGCGATATGTGCACACGTATATATGTGTGCACGCGGGTGCACATGTGTGTGCACACGTGTGTGTGTGTGCACGAGTGAGTGAGTGATCGAGCTACAATGAATTATAGCAATTCTTTGGTTAGTTGACTTTCGCCTTTAGGTTCATCAGGCTACAAGAATAATCTTGACTAATCGAAAGGCGAAAGTGAACTAGCTGACGGCTTGCTATAATTAATCTTAACTATATCTTAGATTGCTCTGTTTTCTTCAAATCATTCAGCACTTTCAATTATTTTGATTTAATTTTTACATGCTTTGCATTTAAAGCGTAAAATGTATTTTTATATGTGTTGGCATATACATATATATGTGTGTGTGCGTGTGTGTGTGTGTGATTTAAAGATCAAATATGGATCGGAATCTGACAGGATGATAAGATAAAGAAGAAATAGGAAACGTATATCAATCTAACATGTTTCACTTTTATTAAAGCTTTGTCGGAGATTGAGAGAAAACAGACAAAAAGACTAAACTCTGATATTTTCAATTTTGTTTGTATCGATTCTCATTGGTCAGTCATGTATCGCGTGCATTATATATATATATATATATATATATATATATATATATATATATATTGATTTCCACACTACTTTCTTATTTATCGTCTACTGTTTCTCAACACTCTTCTATGATGAATAGGACGAAAGAGGAAAGGGTAGAGAGAAAGTAAGAAATCTAGAGAAAAACGAAATCGAAAAATGGCTAAAAGAAATGAGGAAAGGAATGAATATGAAATACACAGCGAGATGTGCTTCTTTTACTGAGTGTCATTACTCCTTTACCTCTTTAATCTTTCAAAGTAAGTGAAGCATTATTATAGTTATGTAGGTAGTCAATTATTAATATACAGATTATTGTTTGCTGTGGTGCAGTAGTGTAGTGAGTATAATTTTCAGTGAATGTCTTTGTGATTGACTAACCTTAGTAAAAAGGATTCTGATACAAAAATGTAAAAATAAAATTCGCATATGATTCATAGAAAATGCTCTATAAAAAAGAATAAAATGAGGTTTATACCATATCAGTATTGATCATATAACCA